GGTGAGGGCTCACCTGGGCAGGTGGGGTCACCTGGGCCTGAATCACAAAGTCCAACTGTGCCCACCTGTCCCATCTCTGTGCCCACCTGAGCCCACCTGTGCCCACCTGAGCCCACCTGTGCCCACCTGAGCTCACCTGAGCCCTCCTGTGCCCACCTGAACTCATCTGAGCCCACCTGAGCTCATTTGTCCCCCCCAGGACTCGCATAAAGGTGGTGCAGATCTTCTGGGTGAACATGATCATGGACACCTTGGCCTCGCTGGCCTGTGCCCACCTGAGCTCACCTGAGCCCACCTGAGCCCACCTGAGCCCCCCTGCGCCCACCTGAGCTCATTTGTCCCCCCCAGGACTCGCATAAAGGTGGTGCAGATCTTCTGGGTGAACCTGATCATGGACACCTTGGCCTCGCTGGCCTGTGCCACCTGAGCTCACCTGTGCCCCTCTGTGCCCACCTGAACTCACCTGAGCCCACCTGAGCTCATTTGTCCCGCCCAGGACTCGCCGCTGAAGGCGGTGCAGATGCTCTGGGTGAACCTCATCATGGACACCTTGGCCTCGCTGGCCTGTGCCCACCTGAGCTCACCTGTCCCATTCCTCTGAGCCACCTGAGTGCACCTGTGCCCACCTGAGATCACCTGAGCTCACCTGAGCTCATTTGTCCCCCCCAGGACTTGCATAAAGGTGGTGCAGATCTTCTGGGTGAACCTGATCATGGACACCTTGGCCTCGCTGGCCTGTGCCCACCTGAGCTCACCTGAGCTCACCTGAGCTCACCTGAGCCCCTCTGTGCCCACCTGAGCCCACCTGTGCCCACCTGAGCTCATTTGTCCCCCCAGGACTCGCCGCTGAAGGCGGTGCAGATGCTGTGGGTGAACCTGATCATGGACACCTTGGCCTCGCTGGCCTGTGCCCACCTGAGCTCACCTGAGCTCACCTGTGCCCGCAGGACTCGCCGCTGAAGGCGGTGCAGATGCTCTGGGTGAACCTGATCATGGACACCTTGGCCTCGCTGGCGCTGGCCACGGAGCCGCCCACGGAGGCGCTGCTGCTGCGCCGGCCCTACGGCCGCGACCACCCGCTGGTGTCCGGCACCATGCTGCGCAACATCCTGGGCCACGCCGCCTACCAGCTGCTGGTCATCTTCACCCTGCTCTTCGCCGGTCAGTGACGCTGGGGACGTCACGGGAGGGTCCCACAGGTGATGGGAACCCATAGGGACGTGGTGG